AGGCTAGAACGACACGTTCTGAATCCGGAACGGCCCGTTCTGGACCAATTCGTTATGTGTAATATTTATAACTGGAACGGCCCGTTCTCAAACGCCCCATTATGGGGTTGGATTTTACTCATGACGACCATAATTAGAACGGCCCGTTTCCAACTAAGGTCTTTAGGCATTTTTTATAACTCAGAACGAGTTGTTGCAGATTGGGAACGGCCCGTTCTGGGCTAACAAAACTAAGCCTCTTTCAGAGTTTGGAACGAGTCGTTCCACCTTTTGGAACGTCCCTTTCTGGAACAACAAAAATAGGTTATTTTCATAATTTGGAACGGCCCGTTCTAGGCCTTAAAAAAATAATAAAATAAATAAATAATATTTTTTATTTGATTATAAAACCCATTTAATAATCTTTATAAATATAAAATAAATGATAATTAACTATTGTATTAGTAAAATTTTAGGACATTACAAATAGAGGGAGAGAGGAGGAATCAAATAACTTACAAAATAACTCTTAGTAAAGTTATTTCGCTCAATAACTCATGGTGTTTGTTGAATTTCATCGATCAAATTGTTAAATTAAATTAAAGTTATTAATTTTTACTAATAATTAATATAAAAAATTAATTAACTTTGGAATAAATTATTTGCTAATTAACAATATAATTGAAATATTAATTATTTTAAATTATTTAACTAAAATCTTAATTATTGACAATTTACTATATGATCTTAATATTTTTGTATAACTAATATCTGATTTTAAATTTGATATGAAAATATTATGATATAATTAGATAAGATTTTAAGTTAGTATTTTATTAAAAGTTGATAATTAGAAAAAAAAAAATAAGGATAAATACATTTTTTAAATTTTATATGTTTGATTTAAGGTAAATAAATATATTAAATTAATTAATAATTTATTTAAAATATTAAAATTTAATTTATAAGTATGTAATAAATAAATATTTATAATTTTATAAATTATATTATCATTATAAATTATAAAATTAAATAATTTAAATTATAATTTTAAATAGAAATAAGTAGATTGTTAATTATAAAAGTAAGTACATATAAATAAAGAATAATTAAATATATTATTATTATTATTATTATTATTATTCGTAATATAAAAGTATTATATATTATTATTATAGTACAAATATGAGATTGTATAATTGAAGATGACTTAAATGAATTAATTTGTACAATTTATACTGACAACATGCATATATATTTCGGTAGCTTATCTCCTCAGAACTTCACAGTTAAGCGTGCTTGACTTGGAGTAATATAGAGATGGGTAACCTTCTGGGAAGTTTTCCTGAAATTGCGCAAGTAAAGATAAAACACCCTAAAAAGTGAAATATCGTGAAATAGAACCCTTGAGAGGCCAAATATGAGGGTTGTCACATTAATAAATTTATTAAAATTAAACAAAAATTATAATTTCTAACAGAATTTTTCGTCAGAAATTTTCGACGGATTTTTTTTTCTGACGCCACTTTTTCTGACAGATTTAAATCCGTTGGAAAAAAAATCCGTCAAAAATTTTCTTGTTTATGTCATAAATTTTCGTCGGAAATTAGCCTTTTTCTTGTAATGTTTGGAAGATCATCATAGGCAGTGATGTTCTTGTGACCAAACCAAAGAATGAATATAAATAGGAAGAATACAACATCTTGCAACTCAAAACAAAAGCAAGATACATTCTAGCTTGTTTTTTTGTCTTGAACTGAGTACAACAAGTTTTGCAGTTGCAAGACTGCTAAATAGGAAGTAATAAAGGTCAATATTTTTCTGAAGGGATTTCTCTTACAAGACCACCTACCTTTAATGGAGAAGACTACCCATATTGGATGGACAAGATGGAGATGTTCATCAAGTCCACCTAATACTATCTCTACAAGATCATCATAGGCTGTGATGTTTTCATGACCAAACTAGAGAATGAATACAACCAGGAAGACTACAACATCTTGCAACTCAACACAAAAGTAAGATACATTCTAGCTTGTTCTTTGTCTTGAACTGAGTACAACAAGTTTTGTAATTGAAAAATTGCTAAATAGGAAGTAGTGAAGGTCAGTACTTTCCTGAAGGATCTTTTCTTACGAAATTGGTAGCCTTTAATAGATAAGGCTATCCATATTGGAAGGACAAGATGGAGATGTTCATCAAGTTTAATTTACCTAATACCATCTTTGGAAGATCATCATAGGTAGTTGATGTTCTCGTGACCAAACCATAGAATGGATGCCAAAAGGAAGACTACAACATCTTGCAACTCAACATAAAATCCATATACATAGCCTACTATTTGTCTTGAACTAAGTACAAAAATTTTTGCAGTTGCAAGATTGCTAAAGAGATGTGGGAAACTATAACTCATGAAGGAACTAAAGACATAAGACTCAAATGGATTACTATTCTTGAGAGACATTATGAGTTGTTATATATGAAGGAGAACAAAACCATTGATGAGATGTTTGAGAGATTCCAAACCATTCTTAATGGGCTAAAATCCCTGGGAATTAAGTTCTCAAAAGCTCAAAACAATCTGAAGATCTTGGATAGCCTTCCAAAGATTTGTGAACCAAATGTTACTACCATATCAAAGGCTCATGACCTTAAAAATCTTATGTTGTATAAACTCTTAGGAGCCCTAAGGGTTCATGAAGTCCATATAAACATTAGAGATCATTTCCAAGCCAATGATTTTATTGCTCTAAGGATTAATGAAACCAATAAGAAGACGGATAAAGGAAAAACTTTGAAGGTAAAGTCTTGGTGCAATAAATCAAATGAAAATTCTGAGGACTCAATAGATGATGACATATCTCTCATGTCCAAGAAATTCAAGAACATGTTGAAAAAGAAAGGACGGCTAAGGAGCTTCCACAAAAAGAAAGATAGGTTCAAGAAACCTATCAAAGAGGAAAACAATAAGGTCATTTTCTATGAGTGTAAGAAGTCTGGAGATATGAAGGTTGAATGTCCTACACTCAAAAAGAGATGGACTAGCAAGAAAAAGGCCAAAAAGAGCCTAATAGCCACATGGGAAGATCTAGAGAACAATAATAGTAGCAATTTAGAGGTTTAAAAGGTCAACATCTATCTGATGGCAAATGTATATGAAATAAGGATAGAGGTAGAATATGACTTTAATTCTTGTTCTAATTCTTCTAAAAATTCTAGTGAAAAGGAAATATCCTATGAAACTCTTATGGAAAACTCTCACATGATCACTCTTGAATCTAAAAAGTTTATAGAAAAATACAAATTATTACTAAGGAAAATGAAAAACTTAAGAATGATTTGTGAGACACTTCCAAAGAGATTCAAACTTTTGAACACAAATTCACAAGGAATGAACCACCTGAGATTACAACATTGCAAACTAAAATCCTGCAACTCAAAAAGGATCTTGCTAAGTTTATAAATAGATCTTCTAAGATGAATATGCTTTTAAAGCATATAAGATTACCATCATACAATAGTGACCTTGGGTTTAAGAAGAAGGAATTAGAAACATCTTTCTTTACACCTAAAACTACTTAATACAATGTCTATAGTAAAAATAATCATCAATCTAGTATATGTAAAATTAAAAAGAAACAAAAAAGAAAGTCTGAGGTTAAGGGTACTAACAAAAAAGGACCCAAAAGGATTTTGATACCATAGTCTCAAATATTTTCTGTTGTAGATATCATTAGTGAAAAAAAAAAAAGAAGCTAGAAAGGATTCACAATAGTACCTAAATAATAGTTACTCGTGACATATGACGGGAGAAAGGTCCATGTTCCTAGATCTTCAATCACATGAAGGAAAAATCTCGTTCGAAGGTAGTGGTAAAGGAAAGATGAGAGGTATAGGTAAGATTGGTAAGAATAAGTGATTTCCTAGCTTTAACTTTGTGTTATTGCTTGAAGAGGCAAGTAATTTAAGTTTAACTTTGTGTTATTGCTTAAAACCTGAAAAAGATTTTTTGTAAAAAATACTTGGTTGTTGAAGTCTGAAGGGACTTTATTGTTAAAAGAATACTTAGATAGTTGCTTAAAGATGTAAGTTAAAGAATACTTAGGTTGAGCCAAAAGTGACTTATGAAAGAATACTTGTATCTTTGTGAGAGATGGTAAAACTTTATCAATTGATCAAGAATTGGATGTAATCCCGATAGTTGAGACGAACCAATATAAAAATATCTTGTGTTTTTTATGCCTTACTCTTCGTCTACACCCTTAAAATCACATTACTATTTCATTGTTTTAAAAAGTATTGAGTTTTTGATTAACACTTTTCAACCCCCTTTTAATGTCTTTATTTTCTCCACAATTAATAAACATGCATATTTATTTAAAAGCCTCAATATTATTTTATAAAATGCATTTTGTTAATTAACCATCCGTTATTAATTTTAGAAAAATTTGAGGTATTACAAGACTAAAAATAATGGCAAAAAATAACTAAGACTAAGATGGGAGAAAAAAATTATTAAAGGACTAAAAGTAAATTTCATGAAAAATGAGACATTAAAACTAGTTAAAAATTGTTAGGGGATTAAAGTGATTTTTGTGAAAAGATAAGAGACTAAAAACATATATTACAAGATAATTGTTATTTAGTCACTAAAATTAATAACGCGTATTTTTTTCACTATCAACATAAAAATCAACAACTAATATAACGTGTAATCATTATTATCGACAAACTTAGCAACTGAAATATGTTGGTTGCTAAGGTTCATTGTTGAACGTTTTTGCTAACCATCTTTATTTACCAAAATAACATTTAGCGACCAAACATTATACAAATCAATGATCGAAGATTATCCAAATTATCCACCAACTTTACCATCTTAATCATATTTGTTCCATTCACAATATTTGAACGCAAAACCTGTGCTTAAAAAAACTTAGTAGGATTCTATCAACTATTTGAATAACTTATTGATACATAAATAACAACTAAACATTATTTAGTGCGGGTGGACGCCGGTGTTGGTTTTTAGATTAATATAATTTATTTCATAACAACGGAGCAATTATTTTGATAAGTTTCATCATTCACCAACGCGACTATAAACAAAAATAGAACTTCATAAATGTCTCAGGGTTGCGAGAAAATCACTTTATTAGTTTATTGACATGTCTCGTGGTTTCAAATGTTATCTTATAATTAATTTGATCAACTCAAGTCAATTTAAAACACCACAGAGTAACCCACTTCATGAGTTCATACGTATTTAGCAGCTATCTGCAAGAGAGAATCACATAGTTCTTGTGGCTTGCTAATCATAACCATATGGTCTGCACCTCTGATCTGTTGAACTTCGACATTGATTCCAACATTTTGAGTCATCCAGAGTTGGAAATTCAATGGAATTTCATTGTCATCAGTGGAAACAATAAAAGCAAGAGGAACGGACCCATATCCCTGTCTGGAAAAGTTTTTCTGCTGTGACAAGTCTTCGATAAAGAGGGACCCTGGCCTTAATAGAGTCTTGGCTAATTCTATATCCTGCAAAATGCAATCTATATTTATATTTTTGTACCATAAAAAAGCAAGTCAATTTTTTAGCATGGAATAGTTGGTTAGCATATATAAATAAGAAGGTTGCAACACATAATTACCTCAATGGAGGAGGCTTGGTAGAGTTTGTCGGACAAGAATTTGGGACCAAAGTTAACTACTGTTTTGTTTCCACTTTGGGTGAATTCACTGTCCAACCAATTCTCCGATGGAATACTCTCAATGTACTGTTGAGGCCAAGAAAAAACATGACGAGGATAAGTGTAATTTTATAACTTCTCCTTTTTGGAAAAAACTATCATTCGTAGTCATTGAATGGAAGAAAACTAACAAGTTTTCTTGAAACTACATTCCTTTTTGAGTGACAGTTAAATAACACTATTAACAATATCTATGTGGCACGGTGATCACATTTCTGTGTTCTTATATTTAATTTTTAATTGTACTATAACTCTGGTTAGTTTAGTTTAGTGTTATAATATAATTAAAAATAAATATAAAAAACACTTATCACAATGTACTTAAATTTTAAATAAATCATATGTGATTATTTTATTTGTATATGATAATAATTGCATTATTTAATTTAGTATCACACACCTAAAAATGATATAATTATCTTAATTTAATATATATTGTATCAATTAGTTTAATTAATATTCTCAATTTTATTAGTAAACTAATTAGAATTAATGATATAATTAAAATAAAATATTAACAAAATTTCTCGGATTTAAAAATAAAAAAAAAAATACAAAGACTAAAACATGATAAAATCATATTTATGGAGACATAAAACATCTTTAAACATAATAATAATTTATACTATTAATAGAGGTGATACATATTTTTGATATATATATTATGTTGACTATTTTGCTTTTTAACTTCCAAAAACTTCTCTCTCATACTTTTTTATTAAGTTTTTATTCTTCTTTATTTATTTATTTATCATAAATTCATTTTTCAAATATTTCATATCCTTTAAATAATATCTTCTAATTTTTAATTAATCACATATATATATTTAACATTAATTATTTTTAGTTTATTTAATTTTTTTTTACATAAAATACATGTAAGTACGAATTGTCTTTTTAATTCTATTAATAATAATAAAAGGATAACTAAATATTTATATACACACATTAATACTTTATAACATTAAATTTAATATATATATATATATATATATATATATTAAACTTATAAACATTTTTAAATTGGTAGAATTTCTATTGAATATAATTTCTTTATGTGATATATCTTTCAACCTATAACAATAGGTTTGACAAAATAATCATATGATGAAATATAGGGATGTTCATGATCAAATTTTTGAAAAATTCAAAACGAAACGAACTATTCCATTTTATAAAAATAATCAGTTAATCGATCTGTTTTTATAAAATGGATTAATTTAATTTTTTTAAAATATGAATTAATTTTTTTGAAATTGAATTGATTTGATGCGATTATCTATTTTTTTTTTACTTATACATAGATTAATTTTTTTTTTAAAAAAAAAATAAACTAAACCGATCTAGTTTATAAACATAACTAGATATTTTTGTAAAGTGAATTAATTTTAATTTTTTTTAAAAGAGACCATATTTTGTAATGTAAATCAGATAATTATATCGATAATGAACAATTTAAATTTTTTTCACATCCCTAATGAAATATTATTAAATGCATAAAAATACTCTTGCAGGTTGCAGCAGATTTATTAAACTGATCAGTTTCATATTGATGAGGATATTTTTATGAAGCATGGTGAAGAGAGGCTGAGAATCAAACCTTTTCCAAGACATAGGGTGGCTTGTGTTCAGTGTCTGGCATTATAGCTGTTACGAAAACACCAACAGCTACCTTTTCTGGGAATCGGTCCATGGCAAGTGCTATGTTCAATCCTCCAAGGCTGTGACCAACTAGAACTACCTTGTCATTTTGGGAAAGTGTGGCCAATAGCTGCAACAAAGGCCCAGAATACTCTGAGAAAGTTTCAACGTCTTCTATTTTCTTGACGTTGGTGCCAGAAGCTGCTAGGTCGATTACTGTGACCTTGTTGCCCGCAGATTCCAACCGTGGCTTCAGCTTATACCAAAGCCAAGCTCCATAACATGCCCCATGCACCAAAACATAATGTTTTTCTGAACTCATTATGTTTTCTTCTTCGGCTTCCAGTGATTACTACTTCCTATCCCTTCTCGCTATATATACACACACTCAGGGACTCCATATGTCAGCAAATAACCCAATTATTGGCTTTGAATAGTGAAAGTAAATCACATGTTTCGTTACTATTTTTTTTTTCTCACGTAAGAAATAATTCGTTTGGATTACACTTTGGAAGCTCTAAAAGCTTATTTCTCATCATTCTGGACAAATTTTGATTTAGAAACTTCCATTTGAAGTTCAAATACACTATTAATCATTTCTTACCGCTATATTTTATATAATATAAGAGATAATATTTCCTACTCATTTTAATCAAATTATTAGTATATGTCTAAAAATATTGTTTTGTATCTCTTAATTTTATATATTGAAAATAATTGTTTTTATATTTATGTTTTATTTCTTTGTATATATGATAATAATAATTATTAAATTTTATTACATTATATAAACATAAATCATTTTATATGTTAATTTAAATTAATAAAATAAAATATTAAGTGATTTACAAAATTTTTAAAAAAATTTAAACTTGATTTATATATTAAGAATTTTAAGTTAAACGATTAGATCGTTGAAATTTGATATAAAACATGAGTTATTGAATGAAGTAAGTCTAGATAAACTTATTCCTAGGATAAACAAATATATAAACTTATATAATTCACATATTACATGCTTCTAAAATTTGATTAAACACGCTTGATTAAGTTGAGTGTCAAATGGAGTGAAAATAGTGAAAATTATTGTGAGAACTGAATAGTATATGATGACATTTTTGTTAGCATCGATAGTTTTGAATGATATTTCAATTTCATTCACATTTTAAATGCAAAATTATTTAAAAATAAATATAATGAAAAAATAACATAATTGAAAATTTAAATTGTTAAGGTAAAATAAAATATTTATTCCTTGACTTATGCTAGTGTAACAGTAGTGTTTCTGCTGTATTGATAAATGAAAAAAAAAACAGTAATTCAGGAATGGCCATTCTCTCTATCGTTGTCGTCTAGGAAAAATGTTATGCCTCGCCTGCTTAGCATTTTTTTATTTGACAATGAAGATTTACAGAAAATGTTTTGTCCTCTCGCTACATCATGGATTGTAATTAAGAAAAGGACATAAATTATTTTAATTTCTTTTGTGTGTGTGATTAGTATTATTTTTTATTATCAAATACGTGTATTTAATATACATTTCATTAATATACATTTTTATATATTATCTAAAGCAAAATAAAATTCTAATTTTAATCATACATAAAAAAATTATACTTAAGTTTTATTTAACAAAAAAAAAATTTGAGACACAGTTTCTTTTATGCAGTTGATATTATTTTATGGTCAAAATTATAATTTTATTTTAATATTATACACTTACACTTAATATAATCTTAATATATATATATATAATAATGTAAAACTCCAATTCCACCGACGGTACATTAAAAAAGAATGCAACTGTATCATATCCATGTTTTAAACGGTTGATGGATGTGGCGTTGAGAGCTTTATGGTACGTGACAAAGAAAATGTGGTATTATTTAAGAAATAATGTTGCTTTAATATATTTGATTAAGAAATAAAATAATGGGCAAATAATATACACGATCTTATCGTTAATTTACTTTTGCAAATAATAGTTTTTCAATTCCCTTAATTAAGTAATGGTGATTAACTGATTGGTGAGGCATATCTTTTACAGATCACATGATTTCCTTAGATTTGATCCTATAACATTTTCCCCCCTTTTTTGTGTGGTTGCGTAGATAAACCACAAAGAAGGTACTGTCTGGGATTGGATTTTCTTTAACAAATATAAAATATATAAGCGGCACTGCAACCAGACTCTAACAGGATTAAACACGTTATTTACGTGGGACGGATTCTAACGCTAAATTAACTCATGTTTCACATGGTAAGAGTTTTTTTTTTTTTTTTTTGTTAATTACCGTGTCCTGTCCATGTAAAACTTTTTTGTACTAATATTCAATTATATCTTTTAATTGTGTCATGTCACTATAAACACATTTGCTTTTAACAGTAATATGACACAAATAAAAAATATAATTGGTTATCAGTGTAAAAAAATTTTAGACTGATAATATATAGGTGATTAACTTTTTTTTTATGACTATTAAATATAATTATTTAAAAATGAACGATTAAAATATTTTAATAATTAAATTTAGTTTATAAATTAAAAAATCTTAATCGACAAAATTATATATAAGAATTGAATAATTTAAATTTTAACTATAAACTATTATTTTTTAAAAAAATATTAAAATAAATAAGAATTATTATCAAAAATATATTTAGAAAATTATTTGTTTTTTGAAAAATAAATACTTATAGATATCTATAAATATAAAAAAATATATATACAAATATCACTTAACAGATACTCACCTAAATATGAAAATAAATACAAAATAGATATTTATTTGGCAAAATACCAAACTACTTCTCATACTCTCAACGTTAATATCTATATGCACGAAAAATTAGGTCTCAATATCAAACGGATTCTGTCAGTTTTGGCTCCCAAAACTCATGAAAATTGACTATTTATTTTTGGGATCGATATTGACATTTTTTCTTTAGAAAAAAGTTAAAAATTCAATAATATTTTATTTGAAAGAGAAAAATAGAAGGGAATAGAAAGAAATATGTGAGAATTGATTTGATAGAATAAGTAAAAAAAAATAGAGTGAAATTTATAGTTGTTTAATAAAATAGAATTACGTGAGAAATAAAGTATATTTAGTATTTTAAAAATATATTTTATATAATTAAATTTTTATATAAAATAAATAATATTCATAATTTTTTTCTCTTTTAACAATATAGTTTGAATTATTATTTTTATTATCATTAATATATATATATATATATATATATATAATTTTTATAAATTTATTATTATTATTGGGGTTTAATTTTTTTATAAATAACATTATCTAAAAATAATACACAAAATTATTATTATTATTATTATTATATTTGTTTATAATTATTAAGAGTTTAATTATTTATAAATTTATTATATATATATATATATATATACACAAAATACAACTCTTACCCCTTCTTATTTTAATAAAAATTAAAATTTTCCATATCTCCTTTCTCATTTTAGAAGAAAAGTTTTTTTTTATGGGCTCCATCCCATTTTGTTCACATATTCTTATTATTTCTCTTTAATGAACAGTACTAAATTTTTTATTTTTCTTTACCAAACAAGAAAAACCAAATAAATTAAATACGAGTTGTGCTAAATTCAGCAGTAATTACAGCAAGCAACTATGTAGTATATCTGTTATATCTGAATAAACTTAAAGAATAAAAAAGTCCATATTTGAAATAACCAATGACAAAATTCCCTATTAAAAAATCATGATCATGTTCTACACAAATAGAAGAATGACAAGAAGATGCCAATTTATAGGAGAAGGAAGAGAGTTCCCAACACTAGTGAAAAAAAAGAAAAATCTTTAACATCAATTATTTTTGTGCTACAAAATCGGTTGTGAATTGAATGTTTAACCGACGTTGTATGTACCCACCACCCCAATACCCATCATCGTCGCACCTGTTCCAAATCCTGTAGACATCAATTACAACACCTTCCACCCAACACAGCCAACCCCAAAGCATATAGACAATCAAAAACAAATACAGAATCGATTATTCCATGTAACTCCAATTTTATATCATATACTATCATATAATTATTAAAAAAAATTGTGATTTGTGACAGTTAAAATTATAATTAATGACGATAAAAAAACCACCGCAAACATCCCAATCCACCCGGTGGTGCCCCAGATATGCAAAACCATTTTCCGGAGATTAAAAACCATGGTAACTTGCATTCTTTTATTTAAATTAACACTCACGGGCGGTTATACACCGTCACAAATTGCATTCTTTATTGTTTAGTATTTAACACTTATTGGGGGTCATAAATTACTACAAATCAGACTCTTTATTTATTTGAAAGTTTGGTAATTATTATATTTTTATGCAATAACTTTTTTTAAATGTTATCTAAATAGTATTTTTTTTTAACATTTTAATGATATTGTTAAGTTTTTTTAACTTTATAAAATGATAATTAATTTTAATTTAAATATTATTATTAATTATTATGTTTTTATGCCTCCTAAACTCTTATGAGTTCTTTAAGAGTAGGTTAAAGACATTTTTAATTAGTCATCATTAATTATATATCAAATATCAAAATCCTAAAAAAGATGTATTGGATTAGGCTTTTGAAGGACTTTTTTAGTTGAAAAAAGTCTTGCGAATTTTAAAAAATTTTGTAAAATTTTTATGACTTTTAAGATTTTGCAGGATTGCACAAGACTTTAAATAAGGATTTTAATGAATTTTGCAACTTTTAAGAAACGATTTTAATAGATTTTAGGGGACTTTGTGAACTTTGCAGAATTTCGTAGATTTTTTATATATGATAAGAGTTCAAGATTTTTTTTCATACATTCAAATTTAAAAAGAGTTAAAGAAAAAAATAAAAAAATAATAACAATCTCTAGATAAATAATGATAATAATAATTCTATGTAATATCATGTCCTCCTAAATAGCATTCACCCACATGTTCATAGCTATACTAGTCCTCAAAGCATTAACATCTTTTCGCTCTTACTCTTAGATTTGAATAATAGGCTCAAAATTATGATTTTTATTAACCGGTAATGTTGAAAATGAAAGTTCATCCACCGTTCCAATTGAAAATTTATCGGAATGACATTTTTTACGAAGAAAGTTATGTAGTATTGCACATGCTAAAAATTATTCTAAACAACATTTCAAATTGTTTATAATGTGTGATTTAAAATATTTTATTTATAGATGATTAAAAAAATAGTGGGGAATGTAACAGCCCATTTTTCGTGGGCCAAAGGCCCAATTCGTGGCCCAGAACGGGCCGTTTCAATTTTGAAACGGGCCGTTCTGGAATAGTGAGTATGGCCAAAATTGTAGAAGCAGAACGGGCCGTTCTGGTTTGGAGAACGGGCCGTTTTGGAAGCAGAACGGGTCGTTCTGTTGGGTTTGAGAACGGAAGCTATACAGGTATATGCTTATTTGTTTATGCTTCTCTAGTGCACTTGTGCTCGTGCTTCTATTTTGATATTGTTGCTTATGTATAAAATAGGATCATGTATTTGAAGATAAATTTATAGAAACTGATTCAATGAACTGAGACAAACCCAAATCGCCTAAAAGGTGCCAGAGTTTTCATTTCAAAGGAAACACAACTGAGCAATGAAAAAAAAAAAAACAATTTTGTGGCGGTTTCTGACACCTAAAACCAGCATCCACAAAATATACGCCACAAACCGTTTTTTGCGACTGTAGATTTGACGGTTACTGGTAATACCATTTGTGGCGGGTTTTTAACTCTCAAAAAAACAAAAAAAAAAA